GAACTTCCAGATGGTAAGAACTGTTGAGCAATGGAAGATGCTGCCTCAAAGTATGGTGAAGCGTCCTTCTTTGGAGGTTTTGAAACAGGTTGGATTGCCATCTGTTGGGAGTGCTTGGATTGTGTATTGGATTGTGTAGCCGTACATGGTACTGTATGACGTGGTAATGTCCTGGCACAGATTTACAACCTCATAGTGAACTAGTTTTGAGGATAAACGGAAGGGTTAATCTTACTGCCCTGCCACCCATTTTTACTACTGAAATACCCAGAATTTGCAAACAACACATTACCTATTATTTCTTCTTTCATAATAATGGGAACATGACATTACGTTTCAAAAGCAACATGGGAAGTGGGGTTGAATTTCCTCTACTAACATAATGGGTGAAAATTCCCAGTTGCATTGTAAAGAGCATTTGGAGAGGTATTTAAACAGGAATTTCATCAGGTTTCCAATGCGATTCAGGATTTTCTCTCTCTCCTCCCAAAAGAATAGCAAACACAGCAAATAATATTTATAATTATTTATTGCACTTATAGCCCACCTTTCTCCCAAAATGAGATCTGAGGGGGCTGTGCGCAATAAGTTACTTTTAAAACATTATGAATAGCAGCAATGGATTACTTCGGAAGGCTGTAATGACTCACAAGTACAAATTACTTTTAAAACATAATGTGTTTAGCTGATCAGTCTTATGAAATTTGAATATGTAGTAGAATATATAGTAAATTAGGAATATATTGAACAAAAAAAATCTTTCAGCAGTGAGTTTAAATGAAATAAGGCATAATTTTGTTTATTAGAAAGAAAGTATATTCTGTAAGCCTCCCCGATTGCTCTGCAGAGGGGCGGGATATAAATAAATTATTATTATTATTATTATTATTATTATTATTATTATTATTATTTGTGGATGATATGGAGAAAATCAATGAAATGTAACAAAGACTATGATCCAAAACACACTGCAGAAATAATCCAGTTTGAGATTACTTTAACTGCCCTGAATCAGTGCTAGGGGATTCTGGGAACTATAGTTTTGTGAGACATTTAGCTTTCTCTGTCAAAGAGCTCTGGTCGCACAACAAACTACAATTCCTAGGATTCCCTAGCACTGAACTAGGGCAGTTAAAGCAATCTCAAACTGGATTATTTCTGCAGTGTGTTTTGAACCTATCTAATGGAAATTGATATTATTTTATCTTTGTATAGAATTGATTTTTAATAAAGATAAAGTTGTTGGTTTTTGAAAAAAAATAAGTTATGTTTTGGAAATTTTTCAAGTAAGGAAGACTTCAGAGAACTCACATAGATATATGGTAGTGGTAGGTGGTGATCTCCAGGTCCGTGGGGTGGTGAATCTTCTCCAGGTTTTGGTCTGAACTCCAAAGTGTTGGACTAATTTTGGGAAATAAAAGTCAACTCCTTGGATTAGTTTAAACCTTGGATCAAAACTTGGGCCAGATTCACTGCCCTGCTGACATGGATGTCTCCAGGTCTTGTCAAGTGCATGACAGGGATTCAGTGAGTTGCCCTTCAGAATCAGAACAGCCGAGGTTTGATGGAGCCCATTGGCTTCGTTCATGCATCCCCGCATGACACAAACATCCCGACTTTCAGTGACAATATTTACCCTGGCACATTTGTGGAACATTTAATATGTAGCAGATGTCAGCGTTTGCACATGAAGGCATGAACGCTCAAGGGACTCTGAGCCAAGCACTATGCATATCTCAATAAGCATATGCACCTGTTTGCTTGGTGCTTGTCTCTCTGCTCGTCGGAGGATTTGAACTACTTCCGATCCTTCAAGTGACAATGCCAGAGAGGCAGCCCTGTTCATACATCCTCTGCAAAGCTCCTCCAACTTGTGAGCCAAGATGAATAATGTTAACTTAATGGGTGTTGCCCCATCAGTGCTGAACAGTTGGAAGGAATTCCTAAGGAACAGTGGTTCAGAGCTAAGCTTTTCATGAGTATGCAAGAGCATGCTAGAGGCAAGAAAAGTGAACATATGGGAACTTAGATACAGTTGCATCCATAGAGGCAGCAAGAAAGACCCCGGAGTGTCCCTGCCAGTCAGAGTAGACACTATATATATATATATAATAAAATTATTATTATTATTATTATTATTATTATTATTATTATTATTATTATTATTATATAGTTGGAAGGGCAGATCATTGGCCTTAGTATGAAGCAGCATCCTGTGTTTCTATCCTGGAAAGATAATGTTATCCGCTTTCCCCTTGGCTGCATCTGCACTGCAAAAATAATGCAGTTTGATACTGCTTTAACTGCCTTGGCTCAGGGTTATGGAATTCTATGATTTGTAGTTTTGTGAGCCATTTAGCTTTCTCTGTCAGACAGCCAGGGAAAGAACCTTTTGATTTTATTTTTCCAGAGAGTTCTGTGATCTGGTTCTGACAACAGCTTCTTTTTTTTAACTACACTCTGATGTGCCCTAGCTACATGTGTCTTGTTTTTCATCTGTGAAGCGTTGGAGAGAATGGTCTAGAGCAGGGGTAGGCGACCTTTCCCCTTTAAGGGCCGAGGGACTTCAGCTCCCAGAATCCCAGGAGCTACTGGCCAACATGGGACTATTGGCCAACGTGGCTGAGGCTTCTGGGAGCTGAAGTCCCTCGGCCCTTAAAGGGGAAAGGTTGCCTACCCCTGATCTAGAGGGTCTCTAAATGCAACTTACAAGGCCTACCTTATGGATTCCCCAAATTTTGTGCCAATCTTGTGCCACTAGCCAGAATCCTCCCACTTTCTCCCTTCCTCCCGGCTTACTTCAGTTGCTGCAAACTGAGTTCAAAATGCAAAAATATTTTTGCACTGAACTCAGCTGATGAGGAGAGGACAGAAAGTGAGAAATCTTGCCCTTCCCAGTAGGCTCGGGCAAAAGCAAACTGCTGCATCCTCTCCTAGCTTGTGCATTCTTCCCCATTAAGAACCCCTGCCATTTTGACCACACTCTAATGTTGCTTGCCCACATGTTTCCTGGATTTCATTGTGAAGTGTTGGAGGATGTGGGCCTAGCAAATGACTCCCACTTTGCCTACCATCCCTGGGCCTACAGAGCCTAGCAAATATATTGCTGGATCTACCAAATGAAATTTGGCAGGGAGCATTACTTTTCTGGGTTACAGATTCTGACATTTCCCAGCCAGTGCTGGCTGTGGGTTTCTGGAACTTGTAGTCCAAAAAAGAAAATGTCCACCAAGTTCAGATTTTGCTCTTTTTGCAAAGGCTGAACCTGTTCCACTTCAACTGTCATCTAACTGAACAACAACCCAGTTGGAGGTTTGAAGCCCAGCCAAGCCAAAGTCAATAAGAGCCTTTCCCTTGCTTTCTCAATCAATGCGCACCAGAGACTCCCATTTCCTCCGAATGCCAGGCTCACTGATCTCCATGTTGCTTCCAGCAATATTTCTGCTCCCACTGGTTGGTCCTTATCAGAAATAATCATCATTTCTGTTTTGTGCATCTCTGTTAGTTGCTGGGAAGATAATTGTGAGGACAGAACAAATAGGGAACAGCATTTACAGGTGAGAAAGAAGCAGGCACAGAAAAATCTATTGAGGAATATTACAGCTCATTTATTTGCAAGATTATTGAATTTTGATACCCACTTCAGAGTTAATATGAAGATGTTGTGCCCCTTGCAAAGCACGCTAGTAAGAAAATTGTAGATTTTGAGAAGAGGGTGTGTGTTCTGTATGGATCAAATTCCCAAGAAGCCAGGCTTTTCTGTTGTTATTGTTGTTTTTAAATAGAACTGCAAAGAATGTGGTCACAGCCATTTAAGAAACTGTGTTTCTAGTCCTTGAGCTTATTGAGTTTAACAATAGCAAGTACATTTCTATACCACTTATCAATGCATTATCACTCCCAAAGCGGTTTACAATCTGCAACCAATTCCCCCCAATAAGCTGGGTACTTATTTTAATAACCGATGAAAGGATGGAAGGCAGAGTGGACCTTGGACTTTGGAGCCCTCCTCTAGGATTGAACTTACAATGTTGTGACTGCAGAACCACTGTGCCACCAGGGCTCCTTGTTTTGGAATGGATGACGGTTGCATCTGCTTTCTAACAACATCTGGGTGCCACAATTTTAGAGCAATATCAACAAATTGGAATAGAATTCAGACACATAGCCATGTGAGTCTGGAATGTCAGTATGCAAAGGGATCTTGCAACACCTTTGAGAATAACTGTGGGAAAGAAGTTGTAGCATGAGCTTTCGTAGACTTGGTCTACCTCCTCAGATATATCGAGTGAACAGGTACCCAGGAAGGACCTTTATACTCAGACTGTATGTATAGCCACAGAAATACAAAACTTGTGGCTATGGTGATGAGGCGACAATGTTCAGTTTTACCTATGGTTAGTGAGGGTCAAATGCAGGAGGAAAGATGTTGCTTATAAGGACAGGGTGGGTGGATGACCATGTGAATGGTGGGGGGAGTTTTGGGATGTGGTGTGTGCAGGCTGGGAACCAGAAAGGAGATGTGATCAACTGGTCAAGAGCATCCTCATGTGGCTGGAGTGTTAACCATATTATATTATAATATGTGTCATGTGCCAGGAAGCCATTGTCTCTATTCAATCCTCTGTTGATGGCTTGGAGTTTGTGGATATGTACCAATTCAACTTTGTAGTTTTTTGTTCAAGTTTTTTGTTTCTTCTGGAACAATTTGGCAATTATTGGACACCTACTCTAAGTGTTCTTTATCATCAAGGTTTCAAATAACTCCAGCACTTCCTTCCGCAGGTGTAATTACTGTCAAAGGCTGACATTTTCCTTTCTCCTTAACAACCCCCCTGAGACTAAGCCATCAAATCCTTCAGGTCGTTTCCCGTTATTTATATGCAAGGAACAAACATTTGTGCAATCTGGAGCTTTGGTGTCGGCTGGCATGCAGAAATGTTTCCATGGTGCTCTCTTCTTTGGTAACAGAAATGGTGACATCAAAGCCATAGTGAGATCCCAGTGTGGCGTAATGGTTTGCATGTTGGACTACAGCTCTGGAGACCAGGGTTTAATTCCCAGCTTGGCCATAAAACCCACTGGGTGACCTTGAGTGAGTCACACACTCTCAGCCTCAAGGAAAGGCAATGGCAAGCCTCCTCAGAACAAATCTTGCCAAGAAAATCCCATGGTAGGGTTGCCTTAGGTTCACTATAAGTCAGAAACTACTTGAAGTAACACAACACACACAGTGTTCATTGTGCTCAAACCACTATGCTACGCTGTCGCTCCAAGGTCTCCCAATGGCTAATACAGCCCCCTAGCTGCCCATTCTGATATTGAAGCCATACTACTGGTTGGTATAGTCTCATAGATTTAGAGGCAGCTGGCATCTCTCATGTTTCCATGCTTTAAGGTGAACATTAAAGGAGGTATATATATTCAGGGGTAGCCATGTTGGCCATGTAGCAAAGTACAATAACATCCAAAATCCACAAAACAGTGACACATTTATTGGACCAGCCAAAATGCACGAAATACATGTCGCAAGCTTTCAAAGCTCCAGCATTGTTTCTACAGTGCAGAGGCAATTTGAGTTTTAAGTTGAATGTTGAAAGATCTGTCCAAGGTGCTGAACCTGTTTCGGTAACAGGTCACATCATCACACTGAATTTGCCCTTTAAAGTTCAGCCTAAAATATAGTACAGATTTATTGTTCTACGGATATGAAAGCCATGATCACCTCTCCACCTGGAGATGGCAACCACTGTCTCCAGTCTCACAACCTATAAAACCTAGAGTTTTTCTGAGATATTTAGCCTTCTCTGTCAGAGAGCTTTGGTGCCACAACAAACTACAAATCCCAAAATTCCATATGGCAGTTAAAGTTGTTTCGAATGGCATTAATTCTGCAGTGTGGCAGCAGTGTAAGTCCTTTGGAGAACCATGGAGAATGAAGTATGACGTTCCTTTTTCCTTGGATGGAGGAACATGAATCACAGGGGCCCATATGGCTAAATTTATTTTTTAGTTCCAACTAAAATCAACCCATTGAATCAATGGAACCTACACAAGTGTTGTCTCATTAATTTCCATTCACTCAGCATTGGGTCTACTCTAGGTAGGATCAACTGTTGGATGTAGTTCATAAATATTACCTAAAATATGAAGCAAATCTCACAATTCCTGACTGCTTCTCTGGTGCAATGTTTGTGGGAAATCATCCCACTTATTCCAAGCCCCTTTGCATTGAATCTGGATTTTTTTTCACCAATCCCTAGCTCAGAGAAAATCTCTTTAAAAATACAAATGTTAAAGGAGCTATTCAAGATGTTGAACCAATTTTACAGATAGGTTTCCCCACTTTGGACAGTGCAATGTCACACTAAAATCCAGAACAAATTCACTATGGAAACTAACAACTGCCACTGCCGTTGTTCTATGTAAACCAGGTTTTAATTTAATTCACAGAGAGGAATTGCAGTTTGTTGTGGCACCAGAACTTTTTGACAGAGTTATGTCCCACAAAATGACAATTCCCAGAATTCCCTAGCATTGAGCCAGGGCAGTTAAATCTGTCTCAAACTGAATTATTTCTGCAGTGTGGATTGGATTAGAGTTTGGTATGGTTTAGTCATTGTTTCCCAAACTTTGGTCCTTGTTTTGGACTTCAGCTCCCAGAATTCCTGACTGTAGGCCAGGTTGGCTGGGGTTTCTGGGAGCTGATGTCCAAAACATCTGGAGGATGTGTTTTTAGAAATCACTGGTTTAGAAAGTGCTGAAATTCTCAGAATGGGTCACATTTTCCTATAATGTGCTGCATTCTCACTACTTATTTCCTAGGTATCTTCATGTCTTTATAAGACAAACGCCTCAACAGCTCTGTTGCTTTGTATCTTCAAGTCATTTCTGACTTACAGCAACCCTGGCACAGGGTTTTCTTGGCAAGATTTGTTCAGAGGAGGTTTGTCATGGCCTTCCCCTGAGGCTGAGAGAGTATGACTTGCCTCGGGTCACCCAGAGGGTTTCCATGGCTGAGCTCCATAGTCCAACAGTCAAACCATGTCAGCATGCTCCCCTTTTATATTTGTTGGAACTGGATTTGAACACCTGCAGTGAGCTGCTTCAAGCTAGACTGTGATATTTTGAAAGAGCCAGGTACGTGGCAAGAGGTTGCTTTGAAACTGGCAGTTCCTTAGTAACACCTGAAATCGCCTCTCTTTCTTCTGTACACATACTTCAATGTAGCCGCAGGTTGGCAGAAGATTTTTTAAAACTTGGCATACCTCAGAAGGCTGGGAACCAGAAGCATTTGGTAAAAGGCATGAGATGGAAAATAGGAGGAAGGAATATCAACATGCTCCAGTTTAGTTCTGCATTAACTAAAGAAAATGCCTTAAAAATCATCCATAAATAGTATTTCACCACTACCACCCTTAGATTGATGAATATAGGAAACATTATATCATCAAAATTTGTTGGAGAGGGTGGGTCTCTACATACTGGAACATATACCCATATGTGGTTAGATTGCTCTGTAGTAAACTCATTCTGACTTAATGTTTTAAAACAAATGACAATTACTAGAAAAGATATTAAATATTGCCCTGGGCTTTTATTATTATCCATTTATTCTAAAGAAAATATAGACATTTGGAACATAAAAATTGGATTGCTTTGCTCATTATTGCTGTTCAAGTGGAAATTATCAGTTGTTGGAAAACTAGAAACATTTCCTTAGATGCCCAGTGAAAGACAGTACAGGATCTATAGCTTTGAGAGAATCTGTCAGATAGTATGAAAATAAATAAGGGACTAATAAGTCATGATACCTTTGATGAAAAATGGCTTCCTTTTATTGAATTTGTGAATACATTGCAAATTGTGTAGCCACCTCATTGCATCTTAGAGTCTGGCTAGACATTATGATAACAAACTCTTGTGATAAGGAAGGCAAGGGAACTGGCCCAGATCCCTAAAACAAAAGTTATTATGATGTAGCTTTTACTGTGGTTAACATTTTAGATGATTTTATTTACTGAGTGAATAATAATAATAATATCCCTATTGCAAATCCCCTCACTCTAGAGATTACTCATCTGAAGAAGGGCGGGTGGGAACATCAGGCGGCCACTTCTTAGAATCATAAAATCATAGAGTAGGAAGAGACACCAAAGACCATCCAGTCCAACCCCTTCCCATGCAGGAACTCACAATCAAAGCCCCCTCCAAGAGAAGGCCATCCAGCCTCTGTTTAAAGACCTCCAAAAAGGAGACAGTTATACATGGCACTATTATTTCTTGATCAACAGTGAAATGGAGCCCCATTGATCCCAGTGGTTGCTTACTGGTAAGTGGGATTTGGGAGACTTTCATGGTCTCTACATAGTCCCTAAACTAGTGGCTACAAGGTGATCAAGAATACATAGCAGTTACAAATGTGTAGCTGTAGGTAACATATCCATAACTTCCCAACAGGATTCCTGCCCAGGTCTCCATGAATGAGTCCTCGAACAAAGATTTTCTTTACCTGCTCCGAAACAGATAGGCACAGAAACACATATCCTTCATATGCATACCTCTTCCTATTAAAAACAAACAGCCAAATGCCATCTAATTTTCTCCACAGAGCTCTGGAACAATTTCCTGGCCTTCAAAACCCAAGTGCCATCGATTGACTAATTTTGATGATCATAGAGAAGAAATTGTCAGGTTTTAGATAAAGGAAAGGAGTAGTAAGGCAGGAGTTGGAATCTTCTTGGGGACTTATGCCTTTGTATGTGGATTAGAATTGGGGAGTTCCATAACATCCATATTCAGTTGGAGGTTGCTGTGACAGATGCGCAACAGGACCAATGTGGATTGCGGCCGATGCGCATTGATCCCTTTGGGTGTCAGGACACCAGCTAGGGAATGGCGATGTGTATCAGCAGAGCACAATGCACACTGGGACACTTTTGCCGGTGTCCTGTTTGCAAATCTTTGCAGTTTGCAAACAGGATTTCTTAGTGCCTTGGCTTCATAGCTAAGTATACACAAAGTTACATAATGTCAACCATGATAGAGGATTCCAGCCACAGACTGGAGGAGCTGGGAAAGGCTGAGGGCCGCAGAAGCAGCCTTAGGGGCAACATGAAGACCAAGGACTGCTCAGTGCCCACTTGTGATGTAACCCAATGGTTCTCAAATTATGGGGCAGAACCCCTAAGGACACTGTTCTAAGAATAATTACACAATTAGACCTTGGGCCAGTCTCCCATCCCCACTTCCCCCCTCTTTCTCTGCTTGGTCTACCTGACAGGTTTGTTGTTTTATGGATAAAGTGGGAAGGGGGAGACCCTTGTACCTCTCCCTGAGGTTAGTGTAAAAGATTAGATGCAAATGTCAGGAGGAGCCAGGGACAAGTAAAACCATCCCTGTTCAGGCTCAGCATCAGTCTTCAGAGCTACTTCAGCTAAAATATATAATTTTCCACCCCCACCCCTATATAATTTTGAATATGGCAAGCTCTATGTAATTTCAAATTTAGGCATTTTCCACTGTGGTGTTCAAACCTACTGCACATGCTAATAGCATAAGTGACTTTAAAAGAACATTTTCCTCTAGGGGATTCTGATTTATGATTTATTAAAAGCATAGTAGTGTGTGTGTGTTTTTAAAATAAATATTACATTTCCAGACCTCTTTCCATTACGGATGACACTGTAATTTGGGTTAATGAAGATGTACAGTTTTCCTCTTGCCAGTGCTATATGGCACATGGTATTTTTCTAAGTCACTGAATGTGCCACTTATCTAAAGAGCCAAGGAGTGACATCTGCCTACCATTTTCCATGTTGTTGTCAAAAACTTTGCTAATACAGGGCAAATATGAAAACGTCTGCAATCCTGGTGACATATGTATGTGTTACTCATAGTTAGATGCACATGTGTCTTCATTTGGATGATGTGCAAGAGATATTCACTAGCTCCTTGGGTACCACCCCAAAGCTCCTCTCCACAGCAACTCACAAGCTGGAAAGGGAGCAGAAGATGGGAGAGCTTATTCAAGCAAATAATAATAATAATAATAATAATAATAATAATAATA